GCAGCAGCAGGAGCTGCTGCTGAGCCTTCTACAAAGGCTTCGAAGCGGCAAGAAGCAAGCAGCAGCGGCAGCAGCAACAGGAGCATCAGCAGCAGAGGCCAACAGCAAGTGCAAGGCGGCCCCGCAGAGACCCTAAGCCCCTCTCCACAAACTACCGCAGGTGCAGCAGCCGCTCCTCAGCAGCAGCAGCAGCAGCAGCAGCAGCAGCAGCAGCAGCAGCAGCAGCGTAGACGCTGCGCCCGCAGCACTGGCACTTTCAACTGGGAGGCCCCAAGTAAGGGGGTACTCCTGACTCTCACGAGCTTCTTCGGGCCTTAAATCAACCGGGGGCCCCTAACAGGGGGCCCCCTCATAGGGGCCCCTAACAGGGGCACCCCTCAAAGGGGCCCTTAACAGGGGGCCCCTTAGCAGGGGCCCCCTCAAAGGGGGGGCCCTCCGCCACAGGGGGCCCCCTTATTGGGGGCCCCTCACACAGAAGGGGCCCCTTTGGGGCCCCTCAAAGGGAGGCCCTTCACAGAGGCCCCCTTACAGGGGGGGGCCCCCCCACAAGAGGCCCCCTTACTGGGGGGCCCACATAGACAAGGGGGCCCCCCCGGGGGTCCCCTTGGGGCCCCATCAAAGGGGGGCCCCTTTGGGCCCCCTTTAGGAGAATTAATGCAGGTGACTGACTCTCCGGGGGGCCCCCTAAAGAACCGACTAAGTCGAGAGCGTTGCTTGGCTTGTGGAGCTGCTACGTATTGCAACCGCTGCTTGCTTCTGCTGCTGTTGCTGCTGCTGCTGCTGCTGCTGCTGCTGCCTGAGTGCTAATAAAGGGCCCTGTTAATGTCTACTGTCTCTAAAACGAATTATGCTAGAGGAACTGTCTCCATAGATACCGTTTGTCTTACTCCGTGGCGCTGTTCAAACAATTCACTAAAAAAAGATATCTGCTGCTGCTGCAGCAGCTGCAGCAGCTAGCTGCTGACAGACCATCGGTCCCTATACAAAGTCAGTTGGGGTGCCTATTGCGTTTAAACCACCCCCAAGAGGGGCCCCCCCTCCATGGGTCCCTCTGAGAGGGGCCCCTCTAATGAGGGCCCCTTTAAAGCCCCCTTTAGAGAGGCCCCCCCTTAAGAGGGGCCCGTAAGATTGTCTCCTAAGAAGCAACCTCTAGGAGGGGACCCCTACGCGTGGAGGCCCCTTAAGAACAACCCGTCCTTGGGGCCCCTTAAGTGGGGCCCTTAAGAGGGGCCCCTTAAGAGGGGCCCCTTAAGAGGGGCCCCTGTTCTATAGAAGGTATATATTGTGTGTCTGTAGTATTATAGGAGAACAGAGGCGAGGAGTTTGGCGTTGTGATTAATATCGAAGGGTAGGGGGCCCTTAAGCGGGGCAGCAGCAGCTTTATTTTTGTTAATTAAGATGCATGCATTATCTCCGAAAGAGATATAAGAGCCGTCCTTTCTTCTTTTCTCCTTACGTGAACGCACTATTAAACCTAAAGGCATCTTCTGCTGCTTCGTCTGCTGCTGCTGCTGCTGCTGCTGCTGTCTGTCTCGCACTGAGAGACGCACACGAGACCCAGGGGCCCCCCCTCCATGTCTATAATTACCTAGACCAATAATGCATGCTTTTAATATACCCGAGCTGTCTGTACACCGCAGCATAGACTGCTTCTGCAGACCTAATAAAGGAGAAGACAGGCGAAATAAACTCATTGCTGCTGCTGTTTATTATTATTATTATTATTTAATCTGTCTAATGTTCCTGCCGCTGCTCCTCCTGCTGCTCCTCCTCCTCCTGCTGCTGATGCTGATGAGGATAATGCGGATGAAGGCCTGGTGCTGCTGGTAGTGCTGCTGCTGCTCAAGATGTTGTAGCAGCTGCTGCTGCCGATGCTGCTGCTGCTAATGACGAAAATACTGCTTAGGCTACTATGCAGGTGCTGCTGCTGCTTCTCCTGCTGCTCCCGTTCCACTAGCTGCTGCTGCTGCTGCTGCAGCTGCTGCTGCTCCTGCCGCTGCTGCTGCTGGGTTGGGCCCGAGTCTGCCTGCCCCGCAGCAGAAGACAAATACTGCAGCACTCAGCAGCAAACAAATTTAAAAAAGATATCTAAACCGACACCTGAGACCCCAGAATCTTGCAGCAGCAGGCGTGGGGGGGAGGGGACGCCCCGCTGCAGCAGCTGCTGCTGCTGCTCCGGCTCTGCTGCAGCCGCCAACTTTGCTGCTGCTGCAGCTGCTGAAGCCTAAAGAGAAGAAACCCACACCCTGCAGCAGCTCCTCTGCGCATGCACAATCCCCCGAAGGGCAGCGGCTGCAGCTGCTGCAGCAGCAGCAGCAGCCGGAGGAGTTGCAGCGGCGACACGTCTGCTGCTGCTGTTGCTGCAGCAGCAGCAGATACACAATTTTTCTCCAACGAAGAAGTCCTCCAGATAAATAAAGAGATAAATATAATTTTTAATTTATATTTGCTTCTGTGCAGCTCCGCAGCAGCAGCAGCAGCAGCAATACGGTCTGCGCCC